GGAGGTGCCCCCCCTGCTAAAGCTGCTGGCCATGACCCTGGGGAAGGTCCCCCGGGACCCACAAGATGATGGTACCAGATTGGGGACAGAGCATCGGATTGTTTCTTTCAGAGGGTCTGAGCAACCCCAACACCCCTTACAAAAGGATGGGGCCAGCCTGGGTGAAGGGGTCTCTGCCACAGCCATGGGATGCTTACTCCATTCTGCCCCTGCTGTACTGTGTAAGTGGGCCTCCACTCAGAGTGACATGTTTTCCTCTTTTGACTCATTAAATTTCTGCTGCATCTCAACCGACACCTCTGCGTCATCCTTTCCCCTGCAGATGCTTTCCCAAGATGCCCAGGGAGAAAAATTTTGTTCAGGGGTGGTTATGGGAAGGGGTTCTTTGGGATGCCTGTTCAGTGACTGTTAATACTAAGTTTGCTCTGAGTATGCTTATTTGTGCATTGGTTGGTTGACTCTTTGCTTTCTAAATTTCTCTGAATATGTGGGGATGCACAGAATCATAGAGTAGTTTAGCTTGGAAGGGACCTTAAAGACCATCTAGTTCCAATCCCCCTGCTAAGCAGGGACACCTACCACCTGACCAGGCTGCTCAAAGCCCCATCCATCCTGGCCTTAAACATTTCCAGGGATAGAGCTTCCACAACTTCTCTGGGCAACCTGGGCCAGTGCCTCACTACCCTCAGAGTGAAAAAATTCTTCCTATTATTTAATCGAAATCTACCCTCACTTTAAAGCTATCACCTATCGTCCTATCACTACATGGACTTGTAAAATGTTCCTCCCTAGCTCTCCTGTAGCCCCTTTAGGGACTGGAAGGCCACTATAAGATCTCCCCAGAGCATTCTCTTCTCCAGGCTGAACAATCCCAACTCTCTCAGCCTGTCCTCATAGCAGAGGGACTCCAGCCCTCTGATCATCTTTGTGGCCCTCCTCAGGACGCACTCCAACAGGTTCATGTCTTTCCTATGTATGGGGCTCCAGAGCCGGATGCAGTACTCCAGGTGGGGTCTCACCAGACCAGAGGAGAGAGGAAGAATCCCTCCTTTGACCTGCTGGCCACACTTCTGATGTGGCCCAGGATACAGTTGGTGTCACAGAATGACACAATGCAGTTCAAGGACCATAGCTACTCCAGAGATGATATTAGGTCTTTCACAAAAGCATTGCCTTCTCTGTGCTCTGCAAGCCTCATGCCCTCAGCCTCTCCCCCTAAAGCATGTGCTCCAGACCTCTCACCATCCTGCCAAACCTCCTCTGAACTTGCTCCACTTGATGAAATTATTGCAGTAGAGCAGCGTGCTAGATGCCATCAGACGAGGGCTGAGCAGAATGGGATCATCGTTCCCCTTATCTCCTGGCTACACTGCTGCTCATATAGCCCAGGGTACAAATGACAGTCCTTGGTGTCTCGAATAGTGCTGAGTTGCACCTGTTTTGATGGGGTTACCACAAAAAAACCTTTTTCTGGCCTTGCTTTTAAGCTGCAGCTTGTCATAGGGCTGAAGGACATAGCTGGGTTCTACCAAGCCACATGCTGATGAGGGCTCTACTAGTTGTTTTATTGTTGAGCATGATGTTATATGGCATGTCGCAGATCTTTCATCAGTTTTGGTCTGCCTTTGGAGGGTCATTTCCTGCTTGAACCTCATCCCCTAGAAAAGCAGCAGCAAGGGCAAGAGGAATTGCTTCCAACCTACCCTATCTCTTCTTCTGCCCAGCTGACTACTTCGTAGGAGCCTGTGGGGCTGCTGCCCTCTCATGGCTTCCTGCAGCTCAGGCTTCTCAAATGACATCAGCAGTAGCCATGCACCCCTTCCTCAGCAAGTGCATTGAAGCCAAGAAGGCAAGTCAGGGCAGAGGCTCAGCAAAGCTGGGCCTCATGGCCAGGGGCTCTGGTGGAGTCATGGATTCCTCCTCACCTGCAAGTGCAGTGACCCAAGAGGGCCCACTGCACTGTGTCCCAAACTCCTCTCTTTTTGGGAATGGTAAAGGCTCTCCATATGTCCCATGCATCCACAGGATAATGCTGTCCTCATCATTACTGCCGCAGTGTCCGCATAAGGAAGGAGAGCACAGAGGCAGTTAACAATCATGCTAGTGGTGGGTGACATTGTGTTGCTGAAAGACTGGTGGGGATATAGTTGTTACCTTACTCATCATATCCAAATGGATGTAACAACATCTACCCTGCCATTTTACTCCCAAGAACCACATCTCCTGTGCAGCTCCTTTGATATTGCTTCTTTTTATGGGCAATCCGCCTTTCAGAAGAACTGGAATTATCTTTTGCCCTTCTCCAACACTTCTTATGCTTTCTTGTCCTACACCATGAGGCAACTAAAGTACCACTGAACTGACTAAAGTGCCACTGAACTGACAGCCCCTTCTTAGCAGCTGCCGTCAACCTCAGTTCGTGTACACAGGCTTCCAACTTAAAAGTGGGCTCAGCTTCCCACTTCCCTTGGTTACACACAAAGAACCAGAGAACATGACACACAGCATGCTCCTGCATCTTCCTTTCCTGATGATGGCAGTGGGAAGGGAGTGAATGCCTGAACAGACTCTTCCTCCTCCTCCTCACTCCCTTACTAACCAATTCTATGGAAAAATTCACCTCCTGGACCACTATTTCTTTTTCACTACCGGTCAATTACTGTAGGGGGTGTTTGGTCCCTATCTCAACCAAGGTGCACTCACATGTGGTTTGGGTCTCTGCCTCAGCTACCGTGTTCTTAGATGTAGTTTGGATGCCTGATTCAATTATGGCATTCTCAGCCATGGTTTGGGTTCATGTCTTAACCACACTCCTCTCATAGTACTGAACCCTGGCTCAGTGAGCACTGGTTTTCAAGAAGTTGCCAGCATGGGACCAGACACCTCAGGGCATGTCTCACTGTCACCACACCCAAAAGCTGTCTCCTCCTATGCCAGCATGACACCAGATTCCACAAACCCCAAAATAGGACAACAGTGTTAATTACTAGTATTAAACATCTCACATAAGGGTGACCAAGAACTTTGGGAACCTGCACAACAAAACAACCCAGCGCAGTCCCGTATGGGAAGATGGAGGTGTATTCCCTCATCCTGTCCACAAGACTCCTCCCCCAGCACTGTAAGGCCCTCACTGCCGGGGAAGAGCACAGAGCCATTGGCTCTATTAATGTGGTCAGCGTGCAAACCAATAAAAAGATATGCAGGGCAGAAAGCCAACTCCCTGACTGGCACATGGTTGGTCTTGTCTGGCCACCAGGTGTTCACTCCCCCTCCTCAGTAACAAAGCGGCGACAAAATTTGATTATGATCTCGTGGGTCGACATAAAGGCGGTTCAAGGAAGAAAAGCAAAAAAAGTGAGTGGAAGAAAATCAAAACACCAAGATTTATTCTCTACTTGCCATCAGCAGGTTATGTCCAGCCACTCCTGGGAAGCAAAGTCACAGTACACTTAGCGGTGTCTTTGGAAGACAAATGCCTTCTTCATGAATGCCTCCTGGCTGCACGTCTCCTCCTTTCTCTTAGCATTTATTGCTGACCATGAAGTCATATGATAAGGAATATCCCTTGGCTCAGCCTGGCTCTGCTGCCCTGGCTATGTGCTCCCCCAACCCCTTGCCCACCCCTCGCCTACTGGCCTTTTGGAGAGGGCGTTGGAGAGACAGGGATGCCGCTGGACTAGCACTGCCGGGCAGGAACCAAAACATTTAAGTGTTATCCACAAAGTTCTAGCTACAACTACAAAGAACCCGGAGGAGGGGTGACAGGGTGAAACTTAACTCCATCTCAGGAAGACCCTACAGAATGCTGTTAGCAATCGCTGCACAACCATCCCCCAAAACCCCTTCCCAGAGTCACCTTTGAGCAACACCTGTGTCCCTGGGCATCTTGGGAGAGCATTAGCAGGGAAAAGGATGACACAGAGACATGGGCTGAGATGCTGAGATGCGGCAGAACTTTATTGAGTCAAGAGAGGGAAATGAGGTCACTCTGAGTGGATCCCCCTGTCCAGGGGGTTCCAGGGGCAGAAAAGAGACCGTGCCCCATGGCTGGGGCAGAGATTCATTCCAGGTGTCCATCTGCTTGCCCCAGAGATGGAGCAAGGCCAGCAGGTTTCTCTAGTCTGGCTTTGTGGGGCTCACAGGCCAGAGAAGCACAAGAGAACAAGGACACAAGAGGGAAAGCAGAGAGTGGAAGAGGGGAAAGGCAGGCATGGGCTGTGCTTTCCGAGAGCCCAGGCTGGCCCCGTCCTTTTGCAAGGGGTGCTGGGGTTGCACAGCCCCTCTGAAAGCAACAACCCGATGCTCCATCCCCACTCCGGTACCATCTTGTTTGTTCCTGAGGACCTTCCCCAGGGCCATGGTCAGCAGCTTTAGCGGGGGAGGCACCTCCTGCCGCAGTAGCGGCTCCCAAAGCCAGAGAGGCCAAAGCCCCCGGAGGAGATGGGCACTCCCTCAGAGCTGAGGATGCTGCCAACGGCAGCGGAGGTGGAGGATCCCACGGCGGTGCTCTGTGGGAAGGAGCTGAGGATGGGTCCGGGCAGGGTCACCACCACGGGGGAGGGCTGGATGACGACGGTGGAGTCCTGGCACTGCCTGACACAGGGCTCATTGCAGCTGTTGGCCAGCGGGGTCGGGCCGCAGGGCTGGCAGGGCAGGCACTGGTTGTAGCAGGACATGTCTTGTGGCTGGAGGTGGACCTGGGAGAGAGGGCAGAGAGGAGCAGAGCCTTAAGTTTGAGCAAGAAGCATCCTGTTACCCCATCACAAGGGAGCAAAGGCTTGAGATGGAGGTGAGAACTGGACACTGTAGAGGGAGGCCCACATGTTTCCTTTTCCCCCTTGGTCCAAAAGATCCCTTCTAAGACCAACCAAGCCTAGGGAGATCCCTAGCTGACACAGAGCTCACCTCATACCAACCTGTCTCCATGGCACACATTCTTCCTCTTTCCCCACCCCATAACAAGTAGCCCTGCGACCCAGTGCAAAATAGGGTGTACGCTAAGAAATCCTGGAAGAGGACAAGGATGAGGAGATAGGACGTTGGACTCACCTTGTTCCAAAGGAGATGGGGACAAGAGGAGTGATTTAGAGTGAAGAGAAGGGCCCTCTTTTATACTGCTCCTGCACTACCCCAGGCTCACAGTCACTGCACACAGGCAGTAATTTTCCAACAGACTCAACTCCAAAGCAAAATATCTTTCCTAATGGCTCGGATTTTTGGCAACACTGCCACTTCATTTCCTCATTTCTTTCATGATTGGTCTGCTATGCACGTTTCTTTCATGTGCCAGAATGAGAGGTGCAATGATACCCTGGGCAGGGCTGTGTCAGTTTGGGTAGAGGTGTCCACAAGTGCTGTTGGGGTCCTGTGCAGGCAGGGGATTTTGCATTGTGTCAGTGAAATGTGATTGTTTACAACTCCCTTTGCGGTAGGAAGCCTAGCTCTGTCCTGCGCTGCACACAGCACCAGAGTACCCAAAGACTCTTTTTCCTTAAGGATGTGCTACATGCTTCTCTCTCCTTCCTCTCAGCTCACTCTCGTGGTCATTAGCTGTGGCATCTCCAGGCAGCCAGGCTGCACCAATGGTTTCAGCTGTCTTTCTCTTGGGGAAAAGCTCTCTTTGGTCTAGGGAAAATGTTTGCCAGGCTGAGTATGTAGGGTTGGGGCTAGGAAAGCCAAAGCCCACCTGGGTTGAATCAGGGAAATTATGTGGCGGGCAACAACAAGGTCTTCCAGGTTGTTCACCCTGGAGGAGAGAAGGCCTGGAGGAGAGGAGGTACCCTTCCTAGCAAAGGATAAAATGGCTGATGGGAGGGAACCAAGAACATAGAGACAGACAGTCCTGAGTCCTATCCAGGGAAGGGACAAGTGGTAAGAGGCAAATATTGGAAATTCCACGTAAACATAAGAGAAGACTTTGTTAGTGTGAGGGTACTGAAGCACCTGCTTGGGTTGCCCGCACAGGATGTGGCTTCTCCATCCTTGTACATATTTGGAGCTTGACAGAACTTGACCCTGAGCATCCCCCAAAGGCTGACTGTGCCTTGAGCAGGGCGGTTCGGACTAGATGAAACTGCGATTGTTTCATGGGCAAAAGATGGGTGCTGCACAGCTGCCCCTAAGAAGGAAGAACTGGTTGGGAACATTGGAACCAAGGGCAGCCTTGACTGTCACACCTGAGAAACAGGGTTCAAGAGCTGAAGACAGAAAGGAAAGCAAGGAGCAGAGTACAGCCCCTGGACTTCTGGCAGATGGTAGAGAAGATGCCATGGAGGCAGCTATGAACCACAAAGGAGCACAGAAAAGCTAGCAACACCTTAGGCACCTCATGGTCCAAGAACAAGAAAGGTCCAGGCCAATACTGATGTCAACAAGCAGACGTCTTAGCAGATTGGCTTTGGCTAAGTGGATTATGCAAGGCAGAGCACCAATGTCAAAAGGCAGCATTGTGGAGGTGGAAGGAGGGATGTGCTGCAAAGGAGGAATTTAGAAACATTTCCTGAGCATGTTGGGATGCTGATGGGAAGCTAAAGCTCAGCTTGTGTTGAGCCTTGCAAGGGGCAGAATGAACAACAGGTGGAGTCAGAGTGGCTTGACATCAAGTCACGGACTGTCTGAGCAAAGTTGACCTGTACAAGCCAACTGATGTGGTCTTGGGCAGGGCTGCAACGAAGGAAGTCCTAGACCAGTGGGAGGACTAGGCCCATAGGAGATTTATGGCGTTAAGAAGGACAAATGGCAAATTCTGCACCTGGAAAGGAAGAACCTGTTGCATCAGTACAGACTGCGGACTGAACTGTTCTATGATCTTGGAGCCCTCAAACCTCCTCTGGGTAGATCTGCCTGCAGAGGCAGGGTCAGCCTTGGGGAGAGAGTTGGAGGCTGGAAGGGAACCAATGCACAGGCCTCATCTTCCTGGCCAAAGAGACTAGGCTGTGGCAAGGAGCTCTCTGGAATGCTCTGTGGAGGGAAAGAAATTGTTGCAGAATGTATCTCCTCATTGACTCAGATTCTTCCTTGTGTCTCAGGTGATATATCATCTCCTGGCATTAGGGCTTCAGCACTCCTCCCTACCCATGCCCCAAAGGGCTCCTCTGCCATGAGCATAACACAGGACCATGGGAGATGCAAAGAAACCTCCCCAAACTCCCCAGTGAGTGAAGGCTGGCAGGACTCTTCAGTGCCACATGCATGAGGATGCTCAGGGAGGGGACGGGATCAGAAGGGCCCAGAGTACAAAACCAGCTCTCAGACTACGTCAAGGAGGCAATGCACTTCCCTGCCCTGCAGACATGGAGGCAGCTGGGACGCAACCCAGGAGGGCAAGGGAATGCCTTCAGTAGGCAATCTTCCTGGGATAGACTCTCCCTGCCCGTGGTGAGTCACACGCTAATTTTGGATTGGCCATATGTCAGCCTTTTGGGGTGAGCGAAGCCAGGAGTGTGTGCTGTCTGCAGTCCCGTGTCCCACGCAGGGCTGAATTCCCCTGTGGCCAGGGCAGCTCCATCCCTAACCCAGGAAAACTGGTCTGAGAACTGGTCTGTACCTGAGTACACAGCTCCAAGCAGTGCCAACAGCCTTTGCCCTCCAGACTGACCTTGCCAGTGCTGACACAGCTCAGGGGGGTCATCGGATGGTCAAGCAACCCCACCTTTCGGTTTGCTGTTGATCCACATCCAGAGCATACGGCCACATTGCATAATGGTGTAAGGAGAGTGGGTGTATTGAGGCTCTGTACAAAGCCCCGACACACACACCCCTGGTAATGAGGATGGACCTGACTCCAATGGGGTTGTTGAGGAAACATGGTGTTGAGAAGGATTTTCTCTCTTTGTGCCTGCCAAAGGCAGTGGTCAGAGATCCTATGAGAGTGCAACAAAAGAGGATGACTTTGCCAAATAAACCAGCAAAGGATTGAGTGAGAAGTTTGTGTCACATTGTCAGGCACAGGTCCATTTGGGCACCCCAGAGAGGACTGCGTTCATGGGAGGATATGCACATCTTTCTATGATCAGGGTTGAAAACAACCTCACCAGAATTCCATACACCCATGTTCCCTGTTTACAGAGACTTCTTCACTTGGGGGTACGTCTTCTGCCTGTACTGATCCCTTCCTGGAATATCCTTGGGCCTCTCATCCCAGTGCTTGAAAGGAGATGATATAGCAGACCAGGCGTGTCAGAAATGAGGAAATGAAACAGCAACGTTGATGGAAACCAAACCACAACCTGTGCCATTAGGTAGACTATTTGGCTTTGGAGGTGAATGTGTTGGAAAATTACTGCCTTTGTGCAGTGAGCGTGGGCCTGGGGCAGTGCAGGAACAGTATAAAAGTGGGCCCTTCTCACTCTCTCATCCACTCTTCTTGCTTCCAACTCCTCTGGAACGAGGTGAGTCTGAAGCCCTTTCTCCCTTTCATGCTCATCTTCCTTCACCTCGTCCTCCTCCAGGATTTCTCAACACAAAATCTACCTTTTTATCCTTTGTTGGGTCATGGGGCTTCTTATCATGGGAGAAGGAAGAGGGTAGAATGTGTGGCATGGAGACAGGTTGGAACTTGGCTGAGGTGTCTCCTCACCTATGGGCTAGGAAGGGATCTCTCTGGGCTTGGTTGCTCTTGGCAGGGGTCCTCTGGGCTGATGGGAACACGAAACCTGTGTGCCTCCCTAAAATGCCTTCAGCTCTCAGCTCTGCCTCATGGTTTTTCTCCCTTGTAGTGGGCTGAGAGGCTGCTCCTCAGCCACTGTCCAGGCTGTGCAACTCCTTTTGCTTTCTCCCAGGTGCACCTCCAGCCACAAGACATGTCCTGCTACAACCAGTGCCTGCCCTGCCTGCCCTGCCAGCCCTGCGGCCCGACCCCGCTGGCCAACAGCTGCAATGAGCCCTGTGTCAGGCAGTGCCAGGACTCCACCGTCGTCATCCAGCCCTCCCCCGTGGTGGTGACCCTGCCCGGACCCAAGTGCCCCGCTCCTCCGGGGGCTTTGCCCTCTCTGGCTTTGGGAGCCGCTACTGCGGCAGGAGGTGCCCCCCCTGCTAAAGCTGCTGACCATGGCCCTGGGGAAGGTTCTCAGGGACAAACAAGATGGTACCGGAGTGGGGATGGTGCATCGGGTTGTTGCTTTCAGAAGGGCTGTGCAACCCCAACACCCCTTGCAAAAGGACGGGGCCAGCCTGGGCTCTCGGAAAGCACAGCCCATGCCTGCCTTTCCCCTCTTCCACTCTCTGCTTTCCCTCTTGTGTCCTTGTTCTCTTGTGCTGCCCTGGGCTGTGAGCCCCACAAAGCCAGCCTAGGGAGGACCTGCTGGCCCTGCTCCCTCTCTGGGACAGGCAGGTGGACACCTGCAATGGATCTCTGCCACAGCCATGGGTCGCAAACTCCTATCTGCTTCTCTTGCTCCCTGCATTGTGGCTTCCACTCAGAGCAACCTTTTTTCCCTCTTTTGACTCATTAAAGATCTAATGCATCCCATCCCATGTCTCTGTGTCATCCTTTTTCCTCCAGATGCTCTCCCAAGATGTCCATTGCTCAGGGGTGGTTCTGTAGGAGGTGTTTGCGAATAGTTGTGCAGTGACTGTTAACACAGGCTTGCATTGATTGTGCTTAGTTGTGCATTGGGTTATTCTCTGCTTTCTAAACATCTCTGTCTTTTCCAAGATGAGCAGGCTGATAATATTCTAGTCGCAAAACAGGTT